GAAACTTATAAAAAATTTGTAAATATTTGAATTCCTTTCAAATTTTTATTGTTCATTAAAATAATTAAATGTTTGCGTAGAATTTTATTAAAATTGTTTTTAAATAATTGAATTCTTTTAGGTAATTTTATTAAAATAGTAGATATTAAAAATCATTGAAATGAGGGAAATTGTTGAAAATAATTGATTTTTGACAAGAAACGTATTAAAAATTTTTGAAAATAATTGTATTTTAAAGAAGAATTGTTTTATTTAAAGAGATAATAATTGGGATTTTGTCGAGATTTTTTTGTAAATTTTGAACATAATTGAATTTTGAGATAAGAATTTTACTACATTTAAAAAAAATTGAATTTTTGCAATCATTTGTAAGTTTTTCAAAATTCAATTTTTGTAATTGAAATTCTGCGATAAATTTTGTTATTTATGAAAATAATTGAATTCTTACAACGAATTTTATTAAACAAATTTTTAAAGGTTTGTTTTATTTTATTTGTCAAAATAATTGAATTACGGAGAAAAAAATATTATTAATCATGAAAATAATTAATTTCTCGTGAAGAATTTTATTCAAATTTTTCAAAATAAATAAATTTTCGAGAAAAATTGTATTATTTATAAAGATAATTGAATTTTGGAGAAAAATTATATTATTTATAAAGATAATTGAATTTTTGATGTGAATATTTTTTAAATTTAAACTTTTGATCATAATTGAATTTCTGCGATGTATTTTATTATTTTTAAAAAGAATTGAATTCTTGTAAAGGATTTTATGAAAATTTCTTAAATAATTGAATTGCTGTGAAGAATTATATTTTTAAGAAAATAATTTAATTCTTTCGTAGATTATTACAAATATTTTTGACAATAATTGTATACCTAGAAAGAATGTTATATTTTACGATAATAATTTTATTCTACGACCAATTTTATTATAATTTTTAAAATTTATAAATCATATTATCAATATTTGGTTTAAATAATTGAATTCATAAGAAAAATGTTATTGTTTATAAAAATAATTGATTTTTAGCGAAGAATTTTATTAAATTTTTTTTTAAATAATTGAATTCCCACAAAAAATTGTATTATTTGTGAAAATAATTGAATTCTTAAGAAGAATTGTATTAAAAATAATTGAATTGTATAGCGAAATTTTATTAAAATTTTAGAATTTTGTCAAAATTTTGTTTAAATAATAGAATTCTTTTGTAAAATTTTTTTTTAAAATATTAGATATTAAAAATAATTGAAATGAGGAACATTTTTTAAGATAATTGAAATTTTTACAAGAATTTTATTAAATTTTTTGAAAATAATTGAATTTTTAAGAAGAATTTTATTATGTATAAAGATAATTGAAATGTAGACAAGAGTTTTAAAAAATTTTTGAACATAATTGAATTTATGCGAAGAAGTTCATTACTTTTGAAAATAATTGAATTTCTATAATCAGTTGTTCTTAGAATTTCTATTTAAATTTATTGAAAATTGATATTTTCTAAAATTTCAAATTGAAACCTTGAAGTTCATCTATTTATGAAAATTGTAAACGCAACTCTTTTAAAAAGAAATTTTTGTCAGAAATAGACAAACTTGAAGGTTTTGTATTAGAATTCGTGGTAATTTTATAGTTTATGAGTCAAACAAAAAAGATACAAAAATTCAGAATTTTCTTACGAATTATAAAAATTTAATTTTTTTCAGTACTTTTAATAAAAATTTTTATAAATGTAGAAATAGGTACAAGTAACTGAAAATAAAAAATAAATACAAAATTGCATTTATAAAAAAATCGAATAGATAAAAATTTTATTTCTACCTTCATTTGAATAATAATTTAATTACCTTTGTCATAAGATATATTTTTTTTTGCAGTAAGTCTATGTTTTTATTATTATTATTCTTACTTCCCAGTCTTTAATTATTTATTTCGGTTGTACTGTGTAATAATGGATTCTAAAATTGCATTTAGAAATGTCACGAGTCACATAAAATTGGTAAAACCACTGAGCGTAACAGTAAACCATAAGAGTCATTATTAAAGTTGTTGGTAACGTGAGAGAAGAAAGTTCATTTTGTGTGTGTATAGGTGCAAAAACAGCTTCCAGTATATATATACTGAAAAGCTTTCAAACTGAAATGACATATAGAGAGGAGACCCATCATTTCCTTGAGTCTAGGTCAAATATATACACACAAGTTTCGAATGTCCTTTTCTTTATATTCGCCTCATACATTAAATAAATACCATAAAAATTGTTCTTTCCTCAAAAATTTAGAAAAATATAATCGAAAATTAACATATATGTTAATAAATTTTAACTATTTTTATTTTTATCTGTTATTGCTGGTATTTTTTTATTCCGTTTATTTAGTAATATTACTATTCTTGAAATTGAGAAAGAAAAAAAAACAAAAAAAAGAATTCTTAAAAAAATTTTATGAAGGTTTTTTTAGTAAACTTTATATGAATTGGTAAAACTGTAAATGTAAATGTAAATGTAAATGGAAATGTAAATGTAAGTTTTGAGTAAATTTTTTATTCGTTATTTTTTACTTAGAATTTGTAAATTTCTTTAGGGAAAATATAACATTACCAAGAAGTGTGTGGAAATAAAAGTTAAAAACTGGTATGTACAAAGTGGTAGTATGCCAAAATAAGTAGTCTGTGTTATATAATAAACTTTCAATGATTTCATGATTATGTCATGTCCTGGGTATAGCATAAAATGAAATGAAAATCAATCATCTTCAATCATAATTTTCACTTATCATTGAATCGTTTAGAAGTCACCAGAAGGAAAATTGATGGATTGAAGACTGAATTTAATTAAGCTAATCGTCAAATAGCAGAATTTTTACGAAAGTAATTAATTAACACTATTTGCATTACTTTTATTAACAATTTTAAATTAAAAAATAAATTTTTTTAATATTATTAATTATATTTTTCTTTGGATTACAATCTTATTTAAATAAATTTTTATCTTATTTACTATCACTCGGATTTGCTTGAAACAATTAAAACTTATTACTCGGAGGTTTTTGGGGTCATTTTGAAATATTAAAATCATATTCGTAACCAAAAATTTAAAAAAATCCCAAAGTAACAAGTTTTAGGGAAATTTGATTAATTTTTATTATTTTACTTTTATTATTATTTCTATTTTAATTTCAAGTATTATTTTTAAAAAAAATTTTTATTTTTATTATTACTTTTATTATTTACTATATAACTGCTTATCTAAAATATTGTAATAAATTCTCTTTTTATATCTTCTGTTTTAATTAAAAAAAAACTTTTACTCGATTTTATTTAAAGGAAGAAATTTAAAAATTATTTCACATCAACCTTTTATTATTTATTAAAAAGCAATAAATGAGAATGCATTAAAGCAAATTAATATGTTCCTTGTTTACATATATGGAGGAAATGAATTCCCATAAGTAACAAAAAATTAGAATTTTATTATACTTTCACAAAATAAATTCAATTTTCTATGGAGAGAAATTTAGAATAAATGAACCATATATATTATAGAAATAGAAATAAAAAATTTTTTTTCTGAATTTATTGTAAAATATCTGTTAAAGCATTAATATATAGAGAAAATGGGAATTCTTTCAATTCAGGATTCAACTGAATAAACAAAAAAATTAATAAATATATTTATAAGTTTATAAATTTATTCTTTTTCTACTAAAATTAGAATTAAATTTTTAAACTATAAGCGTTTTTTTATTAGATTTCTTCGAACTGTTAATTAAAATATTAAAATCTGAATAAATAAATAATATGTTTGGGGGCGATGATAAAATTAAAAAAAGGAAAAATAATTTGTTAGAGTATGAATGAAATCCGATCCTGATGTTAAATAATATATACACAATATGCCTATGTAACTGATCACCTACGCTATTACATATTCAGCAATAAAAAACAATATCTCACGTCTCGTCAATGAGATAACAATAATTGTGCACAAGAGTTTACGTCGTACACACTTTATAGAAAGGCCATTAAACCCTACCTCGCAACTTTCTCATAGGCTGAATTACAAATACAAAATGGTTTTACCACAAGATTTGACCAATTTCATCAACAGTTTTATGTGTATTGCTCGTCAGTGAGGATCAGTATAAAGATCACATAAAACTAGTGGTTACATTTTTTGCCTCGTGCAGTGTTTTTTTGGTGAAGAAAAATAGAACTCAACTTGACTTTCAACATCAAAAAAATTGAAGTTGAAAAATAAAAGAGAAAAAGGAAGAAGAAAAGGAAGAGCGAAACTCACAGAGAAAAAAGAATTGTTAATATATAACTAACAAATTTTGTTTGATTACAATATTTTGAGGTAAAAAAATTTTTTGTTACCTCAACAGAGTTATTGTTATTAGAAAAAATTTGAATTGTTAGGACAAAAAAATAAATTTGTTAGTTCTATATTAACAATCCTTTTGTTAATGTAAAAATCCTTTTTCTCCGTGCTGATAGAAGAAAGAAAAAAAGAAGAGAAGAGAAAATAAAAAACAGGTAAAAAGAAGAAAAAGAAAAAAAATAAGAAGAAAAGGAAAGAAGAAGAAGAAGAAAAAAAGAATAGACAGAAAATAAAATAAAGAGGAAAGAAAAAATAAAAAAACAAAGTAAGAAAAGAAAATAAGAAAGCATAAAAAGGGGAAAGAGAAGAAAAAAACGAAACAAAAGAAGGAAAAGGAGAAAAAAGAAAAATAAGAAAAGAAAAAAAAGAAAACATAAAAAGGGAAAAATAAAAAAGAAACAGAAGAAGGAAAAGGTGAAAAAAGAAAAGTAGGAAAAGAAAAAAGAGAAAATTAAAAAAAGGAGGACGAAAAAGGAAAAAAAGAAAAAAAGTAAGAAAAGAAAAAATAAAAACGAAAGAAAGGTCGGAAAAGGAGAAAAAAGGAAAGTAAGAAAAGCAAAGAAGAAGAAGAAAAAATAAAGAAGGTAAAAAGAAGAAAAAAGGAAGAAAAAGAAAAAGAGAAGAAGGAAGAAAAGAAGAACAAGAACGAAAAGATGAAGAAAAAATAGAAAAACAAACAAGAATTCGACTCAAAAAGCCAGTGGTGCATTAACCCAAACTTCTCATCAAGGATAACAAGCTTTAATTCCTGAAAAAAACTGCCTGAATAAAGGAAAAGAAGACGAAACAAAAACAAAAGTAAAACAAAATAAAAAATGCATAAAAGAGAAAATAGATATCGCCCTAAGAATTTTGTTGATAATATTCAAGTCTCGTGCACGCACAAGTTTTGTTATTAAATTCGCAAAAATGCGTGTAGAAACCGGTTGACTTGGTGCTTCGTTTGCTGACAGTAAAAATCTCCGCTGCCAACTCTTGTTGAAGAAGATCAAGAGAAGTTCCGACAGTTCCCTGACGGCAGCTTTTGCTGAAGGGCGGCTTACACGCATATAGTATATAAATTTTCTTGTGAGAACAGATTTTTCTTATTGATAAAATTTTTGCCCAACGACAGTTCAATTCTCAAAAGAATATTTCTCCGCGACTGCATTTTTTTTTCTCTTATTAATTAAAATCCTTGTTATTCTTTAAAACAAAATTCAAATTTTTAAAAGTAACACTCTATAAAATAACGGAATCTAAACTCGATCGGAACCATTAGTGGATCAGTAGATAATAAATTCACAGTTTAATTAAATTGGTATTAAAAAAATTTTATATTTCAAATATATTTATGAATAATAAAAGTTCTTTTTATACTCAATTATTTTAATATTTTAAACTATTAAACTATTAATTAATTATATAATTAATTAATTATTATTCTTAGTATCATTATTTTTATTATTATTGATTAATTTATAATTATTGATCTACTATTGGTTCCGATTGAGTATAGATGATGTTACCTTAAAAAAATCCTTTTTTTTAAATAATTCAATATTTTTTCTATTTAGTAATATTTGAATTAATTATTTTTCATCGTTTTCCTCTCCTTCTCGATATTTAACAATTTTTGAAAACATTTTTTTACTCAATTTTATACCTATTATTGTTCTTATGTATTTTTTTTGTTATTTAGACCGTGACAAAAAAAAAGTGCTACGAAAGAAACTGCATTTTTCCGCGTTGTTAATTTGAATGTAGAGGCATTCTTCTTTTTTTTAGTGTAGATAACAGAAATGCAAGTAAGGAACACAACAGAAAAAAATTCTTTATATTACTTCCTCATAGAGGAAGTATTTTCGATTCTATTTCATTTTCATAATATAAAAATTATATCATCAAAACTATTTTGCTTTTTTAATTTTTATTTTTTACTGTTATTAATGTTATTATACACTCATTTGAATATATGTTTATAATTATTGCTTGTTAATTATTCTCTGCATATAGTCAAAGAAAAATTTTCTCTTCTAAATTAGTGAATTTAGTTTTAAAATAAAATTAATATCATTGTAATTATTTAACCCATAAATGTATAAAAATGCTTCTTCTAATTACATAATTAACAAGTAATTAAATTTTTAAAATGCATAAATGCAAAAATATTAAATGAATTTAATGAACTAGTGAAAATATAAATTTTCGCTTTTTCTATTTGAAAAGAAAATAATTTTACCCATTTTACTATAACATTATTAACAAAGTGTTTCTTTCAAAGCGATAAAAATCTTATAAAAACAAAGTTTGCAAACCGGTTTTTCACCGCTTTATTTGCGACTACTAGAGTCATCTAACAAACTCTCAAGAAACTCTTATCTCTTTTAAACCATCAAGAGGATAATTAAGTGTATATAATAGTTCGAAAATCAAAATTAATGATACTTATTAAAAAGTTAATTTTTATTAAGAACGTGAAAATTATTACAAAAGTAAAACGTTATTAATAACTTTTGCATAAACTTACAAAAAGTGTTTTTAATTTTTAAAACTTGCGTTTTTCTTAAAGAATAATTATTATTTATTATTTTTATCTAATTAATAATAATTTATCGAGTAATTTATTTATAATAGCTGATTGATAGTATTTTATTACTATTAGTAATAAATAGTAATTTATTAATAGTTGCAAATTAATAACAATTTATTTTCAATATATATTAACAGTAATATATTTTTGTTCGTAATTTTATTGAGAAAAGTCGAAAAGTTCCTAAATTCTACGACATAAATTGTAGAATTTTAGAAAAATTACAAATGATTGCAGAAATTAAATTATTTACAAAAGTAATAATATTCTTCGCAGACATTCAATCATGATCAAAAACTTTGTAAAATTCTCATCAAAATTTTTATTATCATTAGAAATAATTAAATTCTTCTCCAAAATTCAATGATTTTCAAGAATTTTAATAAAATTTTTAGAAAAATTTCAATTATTTTTAAAAACTTTCCTCAATTTAATGATTTTCAATATTTAACTATTTTTAAAAAATTGCTCAAAAGAATTCAACCTTTAATTATTATTTTTATAAAATACTAAAAATTTCGCAAGAATTAAATTATTTACAAATTTTTTATAAATTTCTTCGCAACAATTCAATTATTTTCATAAATGATAAAATTTTTACGCAGGGATTCAATTATTTTTGTAAATAATAAAAATCTTTTTAGAAATACAATTATTTTCATAAATAATAAAACTCATTGCAGAATTTCAATTATTTTTAATACAATTTTAATCGAATTCGTCAAAAAATGTAATTATTCTTAATTTTTATGAGAATTTATTTTGAAGAAATAAGCAATTATTCAATAAATTGTTTCATTTTGTATGTAAATAATTGAATGCTAGTAGATTTTTCTGATAAAAGTTAATTTAAAAATAAATTTTAGTTAAAATTTTCGATTATAATTGAATTTCAAAAGCATTATAGCTTGAATTTTTAGAAATAATTGAATTTTGAAAAGGTTTCAAATTAAAATGTTTGAAAATCTAAATCTTTCATATTTTTAACTGTGGAATTAATTCTTTTGAGAAAGTTTAATTGCGGATTTTTTTTTAAAATTATTTCTTTATTTTCTAATATATATATATATATTTAACTGAAGAATTTATGAATAATTGAAATTTTGTAAAATTGAATTGTATACAAATGAATTTTGAAAATTCTCAAAGAACTTTTTCAATAATTATTAAAAATAATGCATTTATAGAAGAATTTTAGTTGAAAGCACGAAAAAAAATTTAATTTTGGAAAAGTTAAAAATTATTGCAGAAATTCAATTATTTTCAAGAGTAATGATAATCTTCGCAAAAATTAAATATTTTTCAAAAGTAATAAAATTGTTATTAGGAATTCAATTATTTTCACGAATAATAAAACTTATCGCAGAATTTCAATTATTTTTAATATAATTTTAATCGAATTCCTCGAAAAATGTAATTATTCCTAAAAATTTTATTGAAATTGGTGAAAAGAATTCAGTTATTTTAAAAAAATTTTGATAAAATTCTTTATGAGAATTAAATTTCAAGAAACATTTAATTATTCAATAAATTATTTATTTTTGTATTTAAATAATTGAATTCTAATAGAATTTTCTAATAAAAATTGATTAAAAAAGGAATTTCAGTAAAAATTTTAGATAATAATTGAATATTAAATTCAATACAGCGTGAATTTTTAGAAATAATTGAATTTCGAAATTAATTTTTTTGAAAAAGTTTAATTGAATTTTTTTGTATTATTTTAAGTTTTTATTTTCTAATATATATTTAATTGAAGAATTTACGAATAATTGAAATTTCATAAAATTGAATATTGTAAAGAAATGGATATGAAAATTGACAAAGAACTTTTTCGAAAATTATTAAAAATAAAAGTAAAATTGTAGTTAAAAATTTTTGTACATAATAATTGAATTGAAATAATGAAAATAATTTTGAAGAAGTATAATATAAAATAATGATTTTATTACTTGGTCAATTTTAATTATTATAAAATTTGAAGAAATGATCACCCAGAGTCGAAGACTCGGAGTTATCGATATCTTCATGTTTTATAGTTATGAAAAATTTAATTTGTAATTTTAAGTAAAATTATTTGACTCGGACTGCTTATATTTTTGTCAGTAATAATTGGTCCGTAATTGTTCATTTTTTGTTCGTAAATTCCGTATTTTTAAATACCTTCACAGGTTCGAGCTCTGCTAATTAAAAATAATTTTTTATTATTAGCTACTTAAGAATAGTTTACTACTAATATAGTTATTAATTGTAATTTATTTTTATTAGTTATTTTTTAGTAATTTATTATTGTTTACTATTAATAGTCGCTAAAGCTCTGACAAGCGTTCAGTAAATAGAAATCGTCACAAACGGAGAAATAGTTTTGGAATTTTATAGTCACGACTTTTTCAGAAACAAAGGAATGATAAAGAGGAGAATTTTTTTTAACACCATTCGCATTTTAATCAGAGAATTCAAGTTTTATGAGGAATCTAGGATAACACACTAGTCATGTTACTTGTGGTAAGTCAAAACAAATTGCATTTCAATTATAATGTTTTCACGTTTATTTTTAGAGCCTAAGTAGAAAAAAACTCGTTTTAAACCACTCTTTTATCATTAACAATAGGAATAATTCTCACTTACTACATTTCAGTGACTTTGTCATTTAACTCTATACATAATTAACAATAGTCTGCGCTCAAAATTGGAAATAAATAAAGAAACCTCTTAAATTATTTGTATAAAAAAATTAATTAAGTATAAATAAATTTTTTAAATATTTAGTTTCACATGATAGAAAAACTTAAAATTTTATTTATTTATTAAATTCATTATTTTATTTTCTTTACAATTTACAAGTTTTTTTGTACTGAAGAAATAAATTTTTAGTCTTTTTCAAAATGATTCATTTTCAATTTTTCCTCTTCTTTATGTTTCTTTTTGAATTATGAATAAATGCGGAAAAAAAATTTTAACTTCAATGAAAAAGACGTAATTTTTAACTTGAATAAAAAAAACGCAATTGTAATTTAAAATAAAAAAAAAGATCTTAAATCAAATTCGAAAAGTCACTAATTTGTTAAAGTCAATTTTTATTGCTGGCTTATTATTTGTTTGTTGTTTGTTTATTATTTGTTTGTTAAACGACAAAAAAACGACCAAACTAAAATTTTAGTTTTTTCTCCAATTTTTTTCTTTTGAACATTTTTATAAATTTTTTTACATTTTTTCTCCATTTTGATGATATTTCTGCGTCATAATGGAATAAATCTTTTGACTTTAATGCATTCAACATACTTATTCTATATGTTCCCTCATTTTTATTGCATCTTTAACATTATTTTTTTTCCTCCTTAATAGGAATAAAGGTATATATGTATATAGGAAATACTGTTAAAAGTATATGTTGTGAAACAAACATACAATAGCGATTGAGCCTGCTGGCATCTTTTACATGAGATATTCAATGTACAGTCTTTCTTTTTTCATAGGAAGTGAACCTATTGTCCTTTTGAAAGAATGGGTCGTTTACTGAAAGTCTCTCACTTTTATTATTTATAACAGAGGAAACTTTACAAGAATATTCATAATAAAAAAAAATATATGATGCAGAAAAGAAGTAAAATGGAAATACATAATAATAAACTATAATACAATGTATAATTATTAATTATAAATTATTTAAACATAATAATATTATTATTAGTTATTAATTTTGATATGCTTCAATTTTTAAAAAATGTACTATTCCTCAGAAGTCGGTAATATTTGTAATATCTGTCAGTCAGATTCTTCTCTAAATTTTTAATGTCTGAAAAAATTCATAGCGAAATAAATTTATAATAATTTAATCAAATATCAATTTTACAAAATTGAAAATGGCGGATCCAATATGTCGGACAAAAATCGCATTACTTTAGAATATTCTGATAATAATGTCTTTTTAAATAACTTAAATTTTGAAGAACTATCATAAAATTATTACTTATAAATTATTTAATAAACAATTTTACTACAAAATTTGAAAATTAATTGGATTTCAAAAGATATGTGTTTACTTCTTCGCATTTATTTAATTCTGTTCAAAAATTTAAAAAAATTCTCGAAAATTCTCATTAAAATTTAAATTATCTTTATAAATAATAAAATTCTTCTGCAAAATTCAATTATTTTCAAAAAATTTAATAAAATTCTTGACAAAATTTCAATTATTTTCAAAAATTTTCCTTATTTTTAATTATTTATAATATCAACGATTCTAATAAAATTTTTCAAAAGAATTCAATTATTTAAACAAAATATTAATAAAAATTACACAGGAATTCAAATACTTATCAATTTTTTATAAATTTCTTCGCACCAATTCAATTATTTTTCATTTTTTTAATGAAGTTTCTCGAAATGTTGACAAATTCTTTACCAAATTTAGTTAATAAAAATGCAATTTTAATAAAATTTTCCTATATATAATTCAATTATTTTCAATACACTTCTTCCTAAAAATTCAACAATTATTTTCTGAGTTATTTTTAATAAGTCAAAACTTAAATTATTTTTATGATTAATAAAATCCTTCTTCGAAATTCAATTATTTTCAAAAATTTTAATAAAATTCTTGGCAAAACTTCAATTATTGTTGAAAGTAATAAAATTATAAAATTATCTTAATAAATCACAAAACTTATCGTAGAATTTCAATTATTTTTTGTATAATTTTAAATAAAATGATAAAAAATTGCATTTATTCCTAAAAATTTTTTTTAGATTCGCCGAAAGAATTTAATTATTTTAAAAAAATTTTGATAAAATTCTTCATAAAAATCCAATTATTTAATAAATTATTTATTTTTGTATTTAAATAAATGAATTCTCGAATAATTTACTAATAAAACATGATTATAAAATTAATTTCACTTAAAATTTAAAATTATAAATGAATAGGATTAAAAGTATTATAGCGTGATTTTTTAGAAATAATTGAATTTTGAAAAGGGTTCAAATTAAAATCTTTGAAAAATTTGCATATAGAAAAATAATAGGTACACTGAAAATAATAATAAAAATAAAATAAGAATAAAAAAAAATAATAATAGAAATAATAATAAAGATAATAATAAATTATAATAGAATAAATTAATACCCTTTTTTGATTAATAGTGTATTTGTTAATATTATATGTCCTCAGTAATTGCACACATTACAATGAATTTAAATAATAATAAATTTCAATTTTTTTTAATATCTGAATTTTTTATTTCGCACAAGAAATAAATAAATCCTTTTTAAAAATTTACATAATTGAACTCGCGATCATTTTTACGCAATCAATTTCTTTATTTCTCGCAATAAAATCGCGTAACGATAATTTATTGAAGGTAGAATATTGATTTTAAAGGTTTTCATTACTCGCGAAAGGGAGAAAGAAATGGATGAAACGTGTTTTGTTTGTTTGATTTTGTATAACTACACACTTGAAATCGTATAATGTTTCGCGCACGAAAATACAATTTAAAATAGATTTTAAAATAAATTCCTCGTATTTCAGTCGAAATTCTCGATATTAATAATATTTTCGAATTCAAAATGGAAATTTTTTTCTATAAATTATTTAAATTATACAATACGGAAGAAAAAAACTTCACACCTAAAGCAACTATAGTTAAAAATCTCACTTAGCAAAATTTAGTAATTTCAATTAATACACTTTCGATATTTTAGAGAAACTTATCCCTATTTCAAACTTGGTTGAAGTTGAAAATTGTTTCTCCGTGTTTATAATATTATTAAAAAAAAAATCTAAATTTTTTTTGTTGGAATTTGCAGTCTTTGGTTAAATTTTTTTTTCCAATTTTGTGAAGGAAAAAAATTAATCATATGCATAATTAATTTTCCACAAAAGTTGAAAATAAATCTAATGCAATAATATTAAAGTTAAAATAAATTCTTAATAAGAAAAAAAGAATTTATAGCTATATACTATTAATAATTTAATACCCTGTAGATATTAATTTTCCAATTTGAATATCTATCTTAAAGGAAAAAAATTTCTATGAATCATAATATAAAGCGTTCTCTGGTTACCATAAAGTCACTCTCCGACTCTTATTTTATTTATGAGACTATTCACTTCCTTTCATATTATTCATATATAGTTGCAAATATTAGCATTCGCGCATAATTTTTTTTCCGCTTACATTTCAATTTTTTCGGAGTTTCGTTTATCAAATAATCTATATTGATTCCTCTCTTTCTCTCTCTAGTGATATTATAGAATTTATTTTCAATTATATATAGATTTGAAAGAAGAGAAAAAAAATTTGAAGAAAATAAATTAATAAAAAATTTTATATTTTATAATATTAAAAATTATGAAAAAAAATGAAATAAAAATTTTCTAATATCAAAAATAATAGGTAAAAATAAAAATAAAATTTATTAGAATTTACGTACAGAGGTAAAAAGCAACTGTTACATGTAAATAAGGTATTTAGAATGATTTCAGGCACATAATCGTATCTAATGGTATAACTATGAATTATGAGAATCATAAATTAAATTGATTTCGAGACACTATAGAATACTATATCTCTCCACTGGATTCTATCTCTCTGTCTCTCTCTTTCTCTGAATATACATATATAGTATCCTATTTGGAAATTCGTGGAATTTCTCTGCGATTTCCTGGAATTTTCAATAGCATTCATTTCAAATTTCTGGAGTAAGAGAAAAAAGTATACTTTTTACGATAATACAAATTCAGTGAATAATAAATGTAATAAGAATACCTGAAGAGAAATATTATATTTTAGAAAATATTCTGAATGTAAAAGATTTATTTCATGATACTTATTAATAATGGATATTTGTTTATAAAATATTATCATTTAATATAAAATATTTAAAAATAAAAATAATATAGTTGAAAAGACAAAAAAAATTGGTAAATATAAAATAAAAATAATATGAATAGAAAAAAAGTTTAATAAAAAAAGATAAACATATTTTTTCATAAAAAATAAAAACGTTTAGTAATTATTAATTAATATAAAAAATTGTGTATAGCACACAAATAAAACTTACCTTTTCTCTATGGTAAAAAATTATGTCCGAAAAACAGAAAACAAAAAAAAGTAAAATAAAAGAAAATGGGAAAAAGCTAAAAAAAAGGAAAATAAAAAAAAATGAAAAAAAGGAAAATAAAAGAAGAACAGAACAAAGTAAGCAAAAATGCAAAAAAAAAAGAAACAAAATGTTTTTTGAAAATCCAAAAAAGTATAGGATAATGTTTTTTAATACGCCATTCGTTGTTTATTCTTTATTCTCTCCACCGGTGGATTAAAATTGAACTTTTTGTTGAACTTTAGATAGAGAGAGAAAAAGTTGATTTTATACTTGAAAAGCTTTTTTGACCCACTTCCCCCACCCACTTTTTCCCCTTGGGTTCATTTCCTATTTCCAATTTTTTTTTGCACCTATTTCCTTGATTTCCATTTCAAATTCTTCTTTCATTTCCGACTGTT